CGGAAGATCGTGGCAGGGCGCTTCGAATCCTTGACTTCGGCCAGGGCTGCCGCCCTCACACGCCCGCGCCGCACCTCGCCCCGGCACCTCCGTAGCGACAGCATATACACAACAAGTGGAAGGCAGCCCACAACCACGCCCGCCAATGTAGAGAGAGAAGAGATAGAGAAAAAGCAGCACGCGCTGGCGGCGCCCAAAGTAGAGGACGCCGACATACCTACGACCCAGATACCAGAAATAAAAGCCAAGGGGTAGCGAGATAGCTTGGAGGGCCCCCAGGAGCCAGGAGTGGGCCAGGGGGGAAAAGGCCCGCCGGAACTCAAAAGACACGAGCGGGGGTGGGTCGGACTGGGCTGAGGCAGACATTGAACACAGTGTGGCGGCAACGTCGAGTTCGATGACAGCGTCGCGAAGCTCTGGCGCCCACGCACAAGCCCCCATTGGATAGGGCAGGCCAACGGAGCCCATCTCCTAGCAAAAATGAAACCCCACGCCCAACAGCAATGTGTTGCCCATACTCTCGAGGCCCAGGGGTCGGACACAGCCGGGGGTTCGGGCAGCGCCGAGTCGGTCGCCCAGGTCGCCCCCCTCGAGCAGAGAGTTGCCCAGCGCGACGCTGAAACCAGAAGGAAGCCACCCGTCCTCGGCGTCCTCGAGGACGAACCCAAGCACCTTCCACAAGATGTCCAGAGCCTGCGGAGGCGCTGCCATGGCGCGAGGCAACGCATTTGGACCTGCGGCGCCATCGGGCCGTCGCGACACGCAGCGCCGCTGTTCGCGCGCCGGTGCCGGGAGGTCGTCGAGGTCGAAGCGCGCGGCGACGCGCTCGAAGCATCGGTCGGCCCCGCGCTCGCCAATCGGCTCGGCCGCAAAAACCTCGCCCCGGTGTTCAGAGATAGCCCAGTATATATATATATATATATATATATATATATATATATATATATGTATACATATATATGTATATATACATACATATACACATATCTATATATATATATATATGTGCATCTAAATCTACATATGTCTATTTATGTATAAATGTATATGCAGGATCGGCACGATCGGTTCCACCGGTTACCGACGCGCGCAAATGCACTCGCGAGTCGAAGAAGCCACATTTGATCTCGCTCGAGCACTCGTTTCGCCCCCACCGCCCACTTTCCATCATGGCCCTCGTCGGTTGCGCCATCGAGGGCAAGCTTGCCAAGTCGCTTCTCCTCCTCGAAGTCGCGGGCCCGGGCCCGTTCAATGGCCGCCGAGAAATGCCCGCGGGGAACCACATTCGCACGACTTTCGATCCTTAGTCTAGCTCGAGGCGCGCCGCAGTAAGAGGGCGGGCCTGGACCAACGCGCAAGCAAGCTTGAAACCCCGTCGCGACGCCACTCCTGCACGCGCCCTCAGGCGAATCAGCTTCGCGAGGTTGGAGTTTGGGCTGGCGCGGAAACCCGCCGCGCAAACTTCACGTCTTCGCGCGCCGTGCACTTTTAGATCTTCAGCTGGAGCGGGAGGGGCCAGCGAGAAATTGTCGAGCGAGGCAAATTGGGAAGACATGCGCGGCTGACGGCACGGCGTCTCACACCTCCCCTCCTTCCTTCCTAGTGCCACTGTGGACAGGTTTCCAAGGGCGAGCAGGTGGCGCATAGGCCGCGATGGCAATGGCGTCCGCTCTGGCCACTGCCCCCTCTTTCAAGCGAAAAACGAGGGTGGCAGCCGCACGGGCCCCTCACGCGCCCCGACCACAGATTCCTAAGTACAGACACACAGTGGCCCACAGAGAGCGGGGCGCCCGTAGACCCCCTAACGACCTCCCCAATGTTCAAGAGGCAGTCAAAGCTGGATGTGGACGACCTGTGACCTCAGGGATCGGACCAAGGGCGCGCTGCTGTACCGGCAGCGTGCTTCTGAATCAATGCCCACCCAGGAATAAAGAAGGACTTATGGTCCAAGATAGTCGCAATCTTGCTATAGGCATTGATACGAGTAGAGTCGGAAGGTCAAATTCAGTCACCGCCGAGAAACAACGCGTTCGATGCCTGGTCCTGGGTAGCCCGCCAGTCTTTGGCAGCCCGGCGCAGGACCTCGACAGCCTCGGCCGCGATCGCGGGCCGAGGCGGGGTGGCAGACAATTTTAATGTCTCATGACCGCGACGATATTCTGATGCATCGCATTCAGAGAAACCTGCAAGTCCCCTCGGATAGAGCGGATCACAAGCTGCTTTCGACCTCGAAAAAGGCCCGAAACTGTGGATTCTGCCACGTGAGATCCACCTGTCGCTCCCAAGGGACGGTACTTTTGATGTGAATGACGTTCGTACTCACAAGGGTAGCTAGGACGATAGTAGGACTAGAATCCCGAGACTCACCTGTCATTCCAAAGAATTTAGACCCAAACGTAACCACCCCCCAGTGGCCACGTCAGCAGAAGAGCAGTAATAATTGTTGCCCTTCCTGGCAGGATGCAGGATGTCCCCCTGGACCCTGGATCGCGACGATGTTGGAACAGGCGACGAGAGAGGCGAATTAGGCACTGGCACTTCCTGGCCTGGGGGGGGGCCGCGGCGGAAGAGAGAGCGGGAGCTCCAGGACACCAGGCCGAACAAGCTGTGCTTCGAGCACGACCCCTGCCATCTAGGAAAGAAAATGCTAAGGCCCCACTCTTGGTCCGCCGCGGCAGCGGCGAAGAAGGGCTGAAACTTGCGCTGCAACTGGCCTTTATCCAAGTTGGCGGCGCGCAAATTGGCGACTGTGAACTCGATATTCTGCGGGGCGGTCACTGGCTGTAGTGTCCTTAGCCAGGACCTTCCAGTTGAGCACGAGCAATCCTTTCTCGCTGTCGATGGCGAATTTTCGTTCGGAGACAACTCCTCGGCGGCGCGCCTGGTGAGCTGAATGCCCGTCTAACGCTCCACCATGAGTGGGTTCTTGCACCACGTCGCATCGCCGCCTTGGGCACGAGGTCGCGAGAGCGGAGCACGAGGATCGTCTCGCCAACATTCCTGTCGTATCCAAAACCCAAAGTGACGGCCTTGGGCCCCTCTTTCTTAATGACTCCGAGCAGTTGCTTGAGGTTCTCCACTTCCTTCTCGGGCGCGTTGAACTTATCATCCTGGTCGTCGATCATGCGCATGACTTCTGTGAAGCGGCGCTCGATGGAGAGGTCGAAGGTCTTGAAATGCTGCGTGAACGTGACGCTGCAAAGCTGGGCTCGCATACATTGGATGGCAGCCATGACGTCGTTCTTGGACCTATCGACGTAGTTCTGAGCAGCCTCCTCCCAGGGGGGCAGGAGCAGAAAGAGCAGCACCAGCGGGAAGACCATGAGCAGACGTGACGCCAGGCAAGCCAGACCCAGCCCGCGTTGAACTCGCTCGCATCTGCTTCGTCGGTGGAGGCGCTCCTTCCGATTGACTCTCAAACCACCTCATTGGGGCAGGCGTCGCGTCATCCTGATAATCTTGATTCGCAGACACCCACACGAGATATAGCAGCTAGTGAAGCACATGGAAAGGGGGTCACCCTATCCGGGCGGCTGCATGTGGGTCCAAAAATCTGCTGGCCTGGCCAGCTGCCTGTGGAAGGGCTTACTTGAGCCAAGATGGCTACGGAACGCTCCTCCTCCTCGTCCTCCTCCTCCTCCTCCTCTTCCTCCTCCTACTCCTCCTACTCCTGGTCCTGCTTCCTCCTCCTCCTCCTCCTCCTCCTACTACTCCTCCTCCTCCTCCTCATCCTGCTCTCCTCCTTGCTCCTCTCCTCCTCCTCACCCTCTCCTCTCCTCCTCCTCCTCCTCCTCCTCCTCCTCCTCCTCCTCCTCCTCCTCCCTCCTCCTCCTCCTCCTCCTCATCCTCATCATCATCATCATCATCATCATCATCATCATCATCATCATCATCATCATCATCTCATCATCATCATCATCATCCTCATCCTCATCCTCATCCTCATCCTCATCCTCATCCTCATCCTCATCCTCATCCTCATCCTCATCCTCATCCATTCCTTTTCCTTATAAATTTATCCCTGTCGCACCCCGATGCTGGTTTTTAGGGCGTGCAGGGCGTTCCGCCTGAGACTTCCTCACCATGTATGACCCTGAAGCTTCAAAACTGGCAATGGTTTCACAGATGGAGGGCGGGTGGTTTTCAAAATGTGGCTCTCGCCTTCGCGCCGCGCACGTTCGTTTTAAACAATTGCACGGGTTGAGGGCGGGTTGATTTCAAAATGTAGCTCTCGCCTCATCGCCGCGTATATTCGTTCAAACGTTGCCAGAGCTTCATGGATTGAGGGCAGTCTGTTTACAGAATGTGGCTCTCGCCGTAGCGCCACGTACATTCGTTGTGAAAATTTGAAAGGAAAGAGTTTCACGGATTGAGGGCGGTTCCTTTTCAAAGTGTGGCTCTCGCCGTAGCGTCGCGCATTCGATTTGCTCGTTTTCTGAATTTGCAAGAATGTCACGGATTCCCAGTATCAGCGTACCAGAACTAGCGTGTTGGAAGGATTCAAGAGTATGAGGGTGCAACACTTACTTTGATCCGCGGTGTTGAAGACGCAGAAGTGGTGTTCTGGCACGATCCAGGATCGTCAAGACGCAACAGTCAGGTTGATCCGTTGCGTTGGAATTCCGAGCATAAAATTCGAGCATTCTTCAGCGTCTTCAAACAGTTATCTTCCAACGGGGCAGCTCCAAGTGAAAATGACCGCTGTAGGAGCCTATGAAGAGGGAGCTTGGAGGGAGGGTTTATTCCAACATCGTTGATGACTCTAGGGTTTACACTGGTCCTCCTCCTCCTCCTCCTCCTCCTCCTCCTCCTCCTCCTCCTCCTCCTCCTCCTCCTCCTCCTCCTCCTCCTCCTCCTCCTCCTCCTCCTCCTCCTGCGCTTCACTCGAGAGGAAGCAGCATCCAGCCGCGCAGACGTTCCCCAGTCGCGCGGCGGCCGCGAACTGCAGACTGGCACCAACCGCCCACGCGGAGAGTCGGCCGCCCCCCCTCCCCCACCGCCTGCAGGAGGCCCGCCTCGGCCGCCTCCCACTCCTGCGAGACCTGCTGCCGCCGGGGGTCAGTCAGCGATGCATCCTCCCCCGTGTTCCCCCGAAGGGGGGACGGGAGGAAGAAGGACGGATGGAGCAAGGAGCAGAGAGGAGGAGGAAAGAGCCCAAGTATCCCTGCCCTGCAACCCCGGCGCTCCCGCCCTTCCGCCCTTCCTCCCCACTCTGCCTGGAGCAAGCACCTCACCCGACTGACGTCAGCAGCGAGCGACCGCCAGTCGGAGCGCTCCGCGGAGCAACCGACGGACGACGGCACGGGCGAGGCGACTCCCGCCCGCCTCCGAGCGACGCACTTCGGGCTGTGCACCGCACGGAGCAGACCGCCTCCCTGCCCAGGCCTCCGAGAGGGCCACGGCGGGGCTCCCACGGAGGCTCCGCAGGTGGAAGAGCAGCCAGAAGGCTCTGGCGCCCCCCCGGCCTGCCATCCCGCCGCAGAGCGGACGCGCCCCCCCGGCTTGGGTTAAGTCGGGCCCGTCCCTCTACACCCTGCGAAATGCTTAAGAAATCATGGGTTAAGAAATTCATAGTCTCAGAACTTGAATAAAAAACCCAAACATTCCATTCAAATCTTAGGATTTACATTGAAAAATTCAGAATAATCGAGACTCTGGTCGAAAATTTAAGTTTTCTTAAACATCGCCAAAGGTGTACAGGGGGCATACTCAAGAACAGGTATAGAATACTCTCGGGACGATTTTTTGAGTATGTTTGGGCATCTTTTCTGGGCATGTTTGAATATGTCTTATTTCGTCCAAGATCCACCTGTATGGGGGGACAGGCCCGACCCAAGGCTTGGGATCCCTGCTCCTGGGGCCCCCTGGGAACCCGCAGGGGGCGGGAGGAGTTCATGCCTTCTTCCTCCGCAAGCCTGACCCTGCCTTGGGGATGTCATCTGGAGCCCAGAGGACCTCCTCACGACATAGTCGTGCCCAGAGGAATCCCAAGGATTTCCTCACGCAGTCCATGAGCTTCCTCGGCAATCCTGCGGATTTCCTCCAAAATCCTCCTGCCTTCCTCAGATGTCCTCAGGAGCTCAAAAAAACAATACCAAGGATCGTCTCGGAAACCCCATGGAGATCCTCTGAGGAAAGCAAATCTGATGAAATCTGCAAGAATTCCACTGGAACCCGTAGAAAATCCTCATCCTCTGGATTTCCCTTGAAACCTGAAGATAACATACAGAATCCTATCGGTGGCATAGGTGGTTTAGGGAGCTACTTCTTCCAAATTCAGTCTTCACCTTTGGAGAGAGGTTCACCGTTCCCCGTACCTCCCTGGGTCTGGAGGGGGGCGCGGCGAGGGGGTAGGGCGTCCAAGTTGGCCCAAGATGGCCCTCAGAGGGCCCCACATAGCCCGAGATGGCCTCCAAGATCGCACGAGATAGTCCAGTATGGCTGAAGATAGCTTCCAGCATGCCTCAATGGGCCCCAAGACCGCCCAAAGACGGCTCCAAGGGGCCACGGAACCATCCAAAAACCCCTTCGAGAGGCCAAAATCCTTCCAGAACCTACAGATAAACAATTTGGTCTGCCTTCTCGCCTCTTTGCTTCTGATTGGCTTCTGAGGCCTCCAGACGGTTACAAGATGGCCCAAGAGAGCCCCGAGAGGGGCCAAAGAGGGGCCCAAGACAGGCCGAAGAGCGCCCAAGAGCGCACCAAAAGCACCACAACAGGCCTCTAAGTTCACCATTGTTGGTCTCGCTGCTTAACTATATGCTTACCTACGCCCCTCCTCCAGCCTCCAGATTACTCCCCTGGGCATCGTCTCTCGATGGGCTGGTGGAAGCAAGCGAAGCGTCAAGAATTCCTCGGGAGTTCCAGAGAGCTCCGCAGACGTCCCCTGAACTTCCTACAGAATCCCGCATCTCTTTGGAGCTACCCCGCGGATGGTGCGCCCGTCGCGGCGGACCCCCCCCCCCTGGGCCTCCAGGCGCCGCCCATCACGGCACGAGACCCCCGCCGAGGTGCGACGCAGCTCCACCGCGCGAGACTCCCGCCCGCCCGCGCGCGCGCGCAGCCGCGCCGCCCCCGCCGCGGAGCGACGCCTCCCCGCCAGGCGTGGAGCGAACCCCCCCGGGCAGATGCGACGCAGCTGCGCCGTCCCCCCGCGCGCGGCCTCCGCCCCTGCGCGCGCGCGGCGCCCCGTCACGCGGCGGGGCGCCAGCCCCGCCGCGGGGCGAGACCCCGCCAGCCGGTCGCGGGGCGAGACCCGCGCGGATGCGGCGCATGACGCCCCTCCCTTGTGAAGAGGGCACGTGGGGGCAGAGGCGAGGAAAAAAAGGTCTCTTCAGGCGCAGACGGTGAGAGTGCTGAGGGGGGGCTGGGATCTGGGCAGAGCGCGCGCACACCTAAGCATCCCAGCCCACACAGTCCGGATGGTCTACGCGCGCTTTGTGTTGAGGAACCCCTCATCCTCCCCTACCTCCCTCCCTCCCTCCCCTCCCCTCCCCTCCCCTCCCCCTCCCGGCTCCTGGCTCCCCCTCCCAGTTCCCCTCCTCCTCCTCCCTCCTCCTTCCTCCTCCACCTCCTCCTCCTCCTCCTCCCTCCTCCTCCTCCTCCTCCTCTTCTTCTCTTCCCCCCTCCTCCTCCTCCCCTCCTCTCCTCTTCTTCTTCTCCTCTCCTCCTCCTCCCCTCCTCCTCCTCCTCCTCCTCTTCCTCCTCCTCATCATCACCTCACCATCACCATCACCATCACCATCACCATCATCATCATCATCATCATCATCATCATCATCATCATCATCATCATCATCATCATCATCATCATCATCATCATCATCATCATCATCATCATCATCATCATCATCATCATCATCATCATCATCATCATCATCATCATCATCATCATCATCATCATCATCATCATCATCATCATCATCATATCATCAATCATCATCTATCATATTATCATCAGCAGCAGCAGCAGCAGCATCAGCATCAGCATCAGCATCCAGCATCATCATCCTCATCAGCAGCAGCAGCATCAGCATCAGCATCTGCAGCAGCAACAGCATCATCATCATCATCAGCAGCAGCATCATCAGCATCATCAGCAGCATTAGCAGCAGCATCCTCATCGTCATCAGCATCCTCATCGTCATCATCATCATCAGCAGCAGCATCAGCAGCAGCATCAGCATCATCATCATCATCATCAGCATCATCATCATAATCAGCATAATCAGTATCGTCATCATCATCGTCATCCTCATCAACATCACGACAAAGACGACGACGACGCCAGTATCATCATCAGCATCAGCAGCATCATCAGCATCATCAGCATCGTCATCATCATCATCAGCATCATCAGCATCATCAGCATCATCAGCATCAGCATCATCAGCATCATCAGCATCAGCATCAGCATCAGCATCATCATCATCATCATCATCATCATCATCACCATCATTATCATCATCATCATCATCATCATCATCATCATCATCAGCATCATCATCATACTCACCATCATCAGCATCATCAGAATCATAATCAAAATCCTCAGCATCATCAGCATCGTCATAATCAGCATCATCATCCTCATCATCATAATCAGCAGCATCATCGCAATAATCATCAACAACAACATCATCAGCAGCAGCATCATCATCATTCATCAGCATCGGCAGCAGCAACAGTATCAGCTCCAGCATCATTGTCATCGGCATTCTCGTCATCAACATCATCAGCACATCATCATCAGCATCATCATCGTCACCATCATCATCCTCATCATCACCACCAACAACAAGAGCAGTAGCAGCAGCAACAACACCAACAGCAACCACAACAACGACCACAACAACAATAGCAACAACAACAGCAGCAGCAACAACGACAACAATGACATTAACCACAACAACACCAACAATCACAACAACCACAACAACCACAACAACCACAACAGCAACAAAAATAGCAACAGCAGCAGTAAAAACAACAACCACAACAGCAACAGCAACAACAACAACAACAAACATACATTTGAGACTGTTCGCTCTTATCTGCCCGCATGCAATTCAACACAAAAATCCCAAACCCTCGATGCCCGCCCTCTTCGTCTAGCCCTTCACTGCCGCGTGTACTTGGTGCAGCCCCTGAAGCAGGGGAAGAGGTGACGCATGGAAGGGAGGGAGAGACGAATGAAGCACGGAACTCTCAGGAGTGGGGCTAGGAGCAAAAAATGTGGCAGAACCAGACGGGCAGATCATGTGGGCAGACCCTAGCCGGCGGGTCGGGAAGGCGGGCCCAGGCGGTCAGGTCGAGCAGGCGGGATGCTGAAGCGTGCGTTCTGCATGAATGGCGGGGAAATCTCGAGCGCTATCGCGATTCCCAAGTAACTCGTAAGAAGTCCACAGCGATAGCGTGATTCCTGAGTGTCGATGGCGCGGCGCCCGAATAAATTGCGAGGAAGCCACACAAAAAACAACAACAACAACAACAACAACAACAACAACAATCATTTAAGACTGGGGACACTCCGTTCTCACCAGTGCCAGGGTTTTCATAGGAGGCGGGCAATACCCCCACTTTGTGGGGGGGCCGGTTCAAGCTCTACCAAATTTCCAAACGACTCTTCGCCACCACCCACACCCAGCTTCCCGCCCTATGACGTTCGGACACTTCACTTCGTGGCATGCGGACGACCGTGGCTACTATTCAGGGCCCCGCGGCCGACGACGACGGCGTGCGCGCGCGAAGAAAAAACGAATGTGTCCCGCATGGTATTATTTGACAGGGATGATGGCCCTGGCAGGTGCGCAACCGTTGTCGCAGAAGTTCGAAAAAGTTGCTCGCAAAAGCCCGTTTGACAGAAATGTTTAAAAAGTGTTGGGTTTTCCTACGAATCCGCAAGAGCGCGCGGGATGAGATTTTGACATTTTTTTGTTGAAAAACCATTGGTTTTTTGATGTTTTTATGTTAAAATCGCTCCGAACACTAAGCTTTTGGAAGGATTTCGTCTTGCGCGCGCGAATGTCCACTTTACCTTATT